TAAAAAAAAAAAAAAAATCTGTCATCCCTATTAGTTATTCACTTTCATTCATCTGTATTAAACATATTTTTTAAACTTTGCATTAAAGTAAAATAGAGAATAAACATCCAAGTATTTATACATGTGATCTGCCCTCCAAATTCTCACAACAAAAATGACTTCATGTGTAAATAAGATTTCACCCTTCAAAATATTTATTTTAGAAGATAAAAAGAATGTTGATCTCATATGATAATCATGAAAAATATGTCAAAAATAGGAAAACAGCAAGTCATTTGTTCTAGCTCTTTAAAAATATTTTAATCATGCAAAATCAACATAGTGTACTCTTAACATAATGCTAAAATGCTAAGTAAGACAAAGTGGCTTGTATTTGTTTTGCAGGATTTATATTTGGCAATAGTTAAATTAAAATAATTACTCTAAAGGAACTCTATTAGTTCAGAAACAATATTTTAAAATACAGCAGTAAGCAAGAGAAACTATTGCTCTTTATACATTTTTGGCATAACACTGCCATACAGTTACAGAATTATAAAAGAAGTGTTTCATAGTACCATACAGATCCAGAAACTGGTTACAACTCCTACCACATACACATGGTATTGATACTAACAGACATGCACAGCATTCTGTAATTCATACTGCAGTAAAATACAGAGAACAAAGGTCCAGTGGCCACTGGAGAGTCAGAGTTTATAGGGGAAGCAAAACATACATATTTTTAAGAATCATACGTACTTTCCTGAAATACTTAAAATACAAAGGACGTCACAATTTCCAAATTGAAATAGTGACTAGACCCAGCTGGCCATCTAGCTTCTTAGGTAACACTGAAGAGCCAGCATCTTACTTGGGAAACAAGTAAATGCCCTTTTTATAAAAAGAAAAAAGAAAATGCTTGTTGAAGGACCCAGTACTTTGCTCTCATTTGTTTTCTTAATTGTAACACCACACAATTAGTGTGCTGTCAACTCTTGATGGTATGGGAGACAGTCACTTCATTTGTGAATAACTTATCACTAAAGCGTCTTTATCTGCAGCCAGTCTCTCAATTTAACTTTTTGTTAGTAAAACCACCAACTATTGATACATATCAGCAAAGGAATTAAACTTGGTATCTGATCATTTGACCAATTCTGTCTACTAAAAGATTTCGGTCTACTTTGGACTGGGCAGAATACATGGTTCAAATGAGAGTATCAATGGGATTCTGTTTCCACACCAATTTCTGATTCTCCTCAGTACAAATAACATAGATCTGATTCTGAAAGCACATCCCCACCATAAAGCTTTTGTAGATATTCCTTATCAGCTTCCAATAATTCTGGCACTTGCATAAACTTATAACTGGTTATATATGAGTTTCTTGTTACTGTTCTAATCTTTTGTTTCAGTTTGTGTTTTCCTTTTCTTCACACGAAACTAAATCCATCAGCGTTGAAAAAAAATGCCCTTTTGACCAGTGAGTGCAGAACTTGAAGGTTTCTTAGTACCAAATCTTATTACATAATCTTCCTAGTAATGTAAATTGTTCCACAAATTCAATTATAATTTAAAAATAAAAATGATAAACTTTGTACCTTAAATATATTTTCATAAAATTTTTGACTTTTTTTTTTAAAAAGGTCTTTTAACATAACTAGTGAGCATCAATGTCGTTTCCCTTTCACTTCATTTTTCAAGTATACTGAATCATTTTATGAAAAAACTTTTTTATGTATACCTATGAAAAAACCTCAAATAATTTTTAATTGAAACACTGATAGAAGGGGGAAGTGGAATTGATATTTTAATGTTTCTCAAGATAGTTATAAGGATTCAGCTATAATTTATATAGCGGGTGTCCAATTGCTCACAATTTCTTAAACAACTACAAAATGATGGCTAATAAATATTTTATGAAAATCGATGCTCATTAAAATTATGTATGGAGTCTAAGGTGGCCCACCTTCCTTAAAGTCAGAGATCCTGGGACCCAACATCCTTATTATTCAGAGGAAGCTGTGAAGACCCATCATGCCATCGGAGAGGCTGCTGCCCAGCGTTGGCTCCGCTTCACCAAGATGCCCTTTCTGGTTCTTAGTTACGTATCCCTTTCTGAAATCTATATGCAGGCAATAGTTTGGGCCATAAAACAAAGGACTTAATTGTATACTCCACGTGAAAACTTTAATTCAAGAAAACAAACTTATTAAGAAGTTACTTCCCACAAATAACTAAAACAATAAGCTTCTCAACAGAATAGGAAAAAAGTAGAATGTGACAAAGAACATTCTCTCTAATCCAGGAAAAAAAGCAAGAACAGTGCTTTTTAAATATTTCTGATAAGACTACAGCATAAAAGTTTAAAAAATTAATTTCAGATTCTTCCATCTACTGGAATTAAACTTTCAATAATTTCTCTAATAGAATTCCATTTTCTGCGTCCATCTGCAGTTAAGAACAAGAAGTAAAACACAGAGAAATATTTCTTGCAACTGAGTAAAGTTCAAAATGAAAACTATAGCATGTAGCAAAATTAAGCAAAAGCATAAATAAATTCAGCAATGTAGTTAATTTTTCTTATTGTAAACACGTATTGTTGAACATTGTAGTAAGTACACTTCCTTATGAACTGATGCTACTGTCACAAATGGAAATTTCTCCAAAATGAAAAAGCACCAAAGTAAATTTATTAAAATAACTGATATTCATGGTTTGGAAAATTCCTTATATGGCAAGATTTTACAATGAAGTAAAAATTTAAACTCCTGAATGAAAACCATTTACATTAGTTAAGGCACATCTGGACACCTCCAGGCATTCATATTTATAACTATAATATTATTAACTTCAGTAATAAGAGATTTTTAAAAACACAGTCTGTTCTCGAACACAATCTGCTGGGTGAGCTGGATAACTAGGAGAGGGAAGGAGGCAGGGTAGCACTCACTGTCACCCTAGAGATTATCCACACAAATCTGTTCATGTAGTAAACACCACAGAATTTAAAGATGAAAGAAGTCAATCTATGTACATTCCTAAATCCTACTTTCTAGATCCTACATTGACCCAGGTCATCATCCTGCACAACTGACCTACATTTGAAATGATTCTAGCACATCCAACTCTAGTCTTATCTTAAACACTTACATCACAAAAGAGAAAGGGAAATTTTCTAAGTGGGAAACAAAATAGAAATCTAAGCGGGAAACAAAAACAGAAATCTTGAAAACTACTCCTATAACAAAGGATTTCCACTCACCCCTAATAGAGACATGAAAGACTCACTGATATAGTTACAATAAAGCAAGATCAAGAAGCTTTTAGAGGAGCCTCAATTACAGAAAGACAAAAACCATGCTTAATTTACTCAGTATATTATAAACTCAATCATAACTCTATTATAAACTATTATAAAGTTATAATTGTATAACTTTAAACAATTAATCAAACATTCTCTCACCATCTAGTTCAACCAATTTTTAACTTTATATGGAAGTTTACTAAAATGATTTCTTAAAGAGTAACTCAAATGTAACACTGTATTGTTTTTCCTTTTTCACCAGATCATACTTTCACTCAGATTAAGGTATAAAAGCTAGAAGCAAAGTTGGTAATTGTATACGACAAAATATGAAACGTAATGGCTATGATAGGTATTATGGCATTTTCATATTTTATATTTTTAATACTAATCAAAAATTTTAGAACTTCTCTAATAACTCCTGAGTTGTATATTTTCTCTTTGAAATTGAAGAAAAGTAGTCTCAAAAGCTAAATTTAAAATAAAACTATACAGAATAATTTTTGAACTGAGAAACGGACATGATTTATAGAAAGCAGACATATTTTCACTTCTGATTCTTTTGAGTTTCTTATGAGATTGAGCATGAAAATGTAAAATGGTACAATATTCTTAATGTTATACACCTTTACTGTATTGACATATAATTATATATTACAGCATTTCAAAATATTTTCATATATTATCATCTCCTTAGAAATATGAAAGCACAAAATATTAGAAATGTACTAGACTAACCAAGCAGTACATCTATTTGCTATGAAATGCAAGTTAGTATTTTATCGATAGCCAATATTTAGTATCTTCAAAGTCCATGATACAGTAATAAAGTCTATATATTTGCAAAGATTCAATAATGTTCCTAGCTATTTGGCCATGCTTCACTGGATTTTTATAGCAGCTTCTCAGTAAATTTCTGTAAGCATATGGTAGTCTTTAAAGATACAAAACACCAGAGTCAAATCCAGAAGGTTGTTTCATATCTAAGACACATAAATATGTATCTATAATCTTATTTTAAAAACAATTAAACGTACAAAGTATTAATAGAAAAAAAACTCTAGATGCTCATAATTTTTATCTGCAAAAGAAATATCCTCTCACTTGTTCTCCACTGAATTAGTCTCTCATAAATTACTTATAGTTTAAATGTAGGAATCATACTGTTATGTGTGAATATGGTGAGAAAAGACCTGTTTTAAATGGAAGCCAGGCAGTTTTTCCCTTGAAATAAAATTTCTCAAATTAAATGGTACAATCTAATCAAACCCCAAATTAATATTCTAAAAGTTAAATTTTTGAATAAAATGTTTTACTTAGAAGGGCTTCGATATTACAGTATCTAAGTAATTCAGATTATATCCACTTATTTTAGTATCTGTCCACTGTTTAATATCTTAATATCTGGTCACAAATTTTTAACATTGTGCACTTAGAAAAGAGTCTAAACACTTTATCATGTATGCAAAATTGGTAAGATATTTTGAATTAAATTGTATTCCTACAATTCAGCCCAATGTGACAACCTGTTCTCATCCCCTATGTCTGTAAACTGTTAATTGAGCCCTATGGGAACACTGCTACAACAAGCACATTAGAGGGTCCATGTAAAAAAGAAACTGAAATGCAAAAACAGAATGCCCCCCGCCCAAATCTTAATCACTTCACAAACAGTAGAAAGCAAAAATTGGCATATTTTGGGAACCCAAAATGACAAATGTTCTATATTTATTGAAATATGATATACAACATGAGTGTTACTAACATTCACATAAAAAAGTCATTTGAGCGACTTTAAAGCAGTAAAATCATATTTCTAAAGGCATATCATTGGCATGTTTATTTTCTAGAAATCCCCTACTTAAAATCATTTGATCAATAAATGTAACAGATCATACAATATGATTAAAAAATAGGATGTGGTAAAAATTCTCTGGGAGTTAAAGTGGATAGAACTTAAAAACCTTAAAGCCTTAAAAAGACACACACTAAAGCCAATTTTTTTTTGAAATAAAATAAAGTGAAATTCTTTTTCTATTCATTGCTTTAACTATATTTGTATGCATAACCTGAAGTTCTTACCAGTGTTTCCAATTGTTTCCTAATGTCTAATAATTAGGAATAATATTACAGGAAATAAAATTATTTGCTCTTAACCAATATTAACACATTAAGTGCTTACTAAAACTGAGTACATGGAATTTCAAATTTGTTCTCAATTTTAAGGTTTGACAACTTAGAGATGCATCATATTGTATTTCTTTTTTTAAAAAGATACACCATGGACTAAGCAGTATATTAATTTCATTGTCCACATAACACTGAGTTATTAATGGTTTTAGGGACCACTGCTTCGTTGTCAATGCAAGAGGCATAAATAATTTCTTTTCTTATTTTTTAATTATTTAGTCATTTGTACTTAGAAACAAGCACCAAATTTATATGGAACAGCCACAGAATGCAAAATTCTTTTCTTAGACTTTTGCGTCAAAATTTGTTTTTAAGCTCTTAATACGGAAAAACATGTTTATTATTTTAAACAAAGGAAAATTTTGAAATTTGAAAGTCTCTGTTCCATTTTAATATCAACATAAGAGATGATCCAAATGTACACTAGAAATGTATATACTGGCTGACAAAGTGAATGAGGACGAGTGTGGAGAGAGGGAAGAGGAAAAGACAGTAGGACTCACAACCAGGCTGGGGAGATTATAGCTCCCAAGAATACCCATTTCATTTATCAGATTTTTAAATAAACATGTTGAAGTGCAATGAAGAAATCTAAATTACTTTCTGAATACATTTGAGAAGACCAAATTCTTTCTTCCAGCTTAAAAAAAAATTCATCCATAAATTAGGCAAACGTGTGGGTAACATAATAAAATTATCCTCTTGGTTCTCTTCAGGGAGACTGTAATCTCTCAAAAGAATTTGATATATCAAATACTACATGATTATTTCCAGATACATGAAAATAATTGTAAAATAATTACTGCATAGAGAATTTTAAAACTCACATCTTAAAAGTGTTACAGAATACATTCTTTTATTGAGTCTTGTCTTAAAACATCATATTAAATTCACTGTCATCCAAAATTAAAAACAATGACGACAAAATGCTTACAACAGAAAACACAGATAGCTAAGATTTGAAATGTGACCCCTGTTCCTTAGGATAAACTGTACAGTAGTTTCTTCCTCCCTTACCTAAACTGGTTTGTGGCTTTCCGATAATTCACTGTAATAGTACATCATCATGGGAACCTGTCTTTCCAGGATTTTCACAGTCTTGGTTATGATTTTCACCTTCTTCATCTTTTTCAGGAGGAGATGTGCTCTCCTTTTTCTCTGTGGGATTATTAATTGTTTTTTCTGGCTGAGAATTTGAATTTTCAGCATTACCATCCTTTTCCGTGTTCCTTGGACTGGCAGCTTCACTGCTGGGCTCTGTGCTGGTCCTGTCTGTCTCTTCTCCAGGCTCGCCAGGTGCCACTTTTTTTTCTTCAGATGTTTTGTTATTTACGGGAACAGCTGAGGAGGAATGTTTGGAGTCCTTGGATTTTTTGTGCGTACAAATTTGACTGTTATGACCAGAGGCAGGAGAGACAGGCGATTTCTGGGCTTTGCTTCCCTCTAACTCTTCTTTCCTAGGTGGTCCCCAGATAAAATTCTCTGAAGGCGTATAATGTTTCTGGGCGAACCGTAGGAGCTTTCTCCTTTCTCTTCTGTCTCTAATTGTATAAACGAAATATTCCAGAGCACTCTGTTTAATATTGGGAATAGTATTTTCCACAAGAGCTTCATGAAGAATAAATTTTACAAGAGGAGACTTAAAACTTTCATATCCAAGCTCACCAAGGCTTTTAAGAATACGGGTGATTCTTAAATAGTTGTGCTGAGACCTGGAAGAGAGGATTGAATAAAAAATTGAATAAAATTAGGTGGAAAAAATCAGGTGGAGGAAAGCAGGGGAATAAAAACTATCAAGAGAATATTCTTCATGGAACTGGTAAGCTATGGAAATATGCCTTATAATGATTTTACTAAAAGTCATATAAGAAAGACATCATTAAAAAAAATAAATTAGAAGGTATTAAACCCTTATACTTCAATGTAATGTCAATCATTGTGAAACTCAAACATATAATACAAATTCTCCTTGTTTCTTCTGTTCTTCATATTTGAACAATGTTTAATTAAAATTTATTCCTACTGATGTTGAATTGTCATTTATTTAATACGCTGAGGATGAGTGATCTACTAGGCCATTTATTTGCAACAATACCAATGTGTTGTACCTGTCACAGGTAACCAGTACGGAACAGAAACACATTAGCTATAAGATGAATGGTACAATTTACAGTGTCAGCTGGTCAGCAAAATCCACCATATTAGCCAGCTCACAAGGAAGGCAGTAAAAACCACTCTACTTGCTAGAACAATTCTGACAAAAGATGTAACACCGACAGCTTAGCAGAGCATAGTTTAAATAGTTAAGAGAATGGACTTTAGAGTCAGACCTGGGTTTATATCCTGGCTCTGCCATTTACAGCTATGTGAAATTATAGTGTCTCTCTAAGGCTTGTACCCGTCCTTCCTGGACTTTACTGTACTATTGTAAAAATCAAATGAGTTGATAAATACGCAGGGCATGTAGAACTCAATAAATATTAGATAGTATTTAACATTAATATTATTATTGTTATTATTTAAAGATTTGGTATTAAGAATCACAATATTTGTACCTATTCCAATTTAATTCTCTTCTATCCCTGGCTTCTCTCTCCTCCTCTTTCCCGATCAGAGAATTTTCAATTTTCCTTCTAATGGCATTGATTCCAAAGATGCCTTTTCCTCCAAACTGTACTAACACCTTTCTCCTCTGTGCCAAAACTAAGGCCATTATCAGATGAATGTTTTCTAATCTTATTATGTCATAATTCACAACCTATCACTCTACTTCACTCAGTACAATAGTTGCCTTATTACACATGCCTGCTTGCATCCTAAAAAAATTTTCTGCTACATGTATTATCAACAGCCCAGGAATTTATTTATCCAATATTATAACACAACCATAATCATCACTTATTTTTAACTTCCTAAAACCTATTTTATACCTCAGACATTAAACTTTATGTAAGCATTGCATATACCTATCTTGGCTTCTAAAAGAGTTTGGTGCATTTCACTTAGAAATAATTAGCAAATTATTCGGAAAGAATGGAGAAGGATGTTGATGAATTATTTGAGAAAACAAGAGAGTAGTTCCATGGTCTTGTATTTTAATAAGAGAGCTTTTTTGGACAAAACAAAAACCTTAATGATTCGGGCAAACCAAACACTAGAAAAGAGAAGTCATGCACTTTTTACCACCACTACCTTCTGGGTGTACCAAAAAAGTATTATCTAAATGTTCAACTCTGAAGGCAAAGGGTAAAACGTAGCACAGATCTGTTTCAGTCTTATGACTCTGAATTTTTTAATAGTAAGTAAGGGTATTTTGAGATCACAAATTTGGGTGAAGTTAATGTGCCATTAACAGCAGGACTGACTTAGTTGTTAGGTTAATATAGATACCGTATACTCTAAAAACAGTGAAAAAACTTTTGGGCAACTTCTGCTTCATAAGTCTACGATAAAGAGATGTATGAAAAAGTAAAAGTACATATTTATTAAATCCCAAAGAGGATTTATATGACAACAAAATTTACTATATTTGCAACCAGCTCAATTTCACATATTCAGTCTAAGATGAATGGCCAAATTAAAATTTCGGTACATATTTATCTGTATTTACACATTCTCCAATTAAAAATATTTACATAACAGTAGAAAAAGACAAAAACTGGGGTTGAAGAGAATGAAGATCAGGATTATGATACAAAATTATATAAGAAAGAAATTGGGTGTTTCGATATGATTTGAAATAAAGACAAAATGGAAGAAGAGTAGCTAAACCTCTCCTAATGTTATGTGCAACCTTTGAGGTTTAGTAGCAGATAAATAAGAGAAGTTAAGCTTTCAGACAGAGGTAAGGGCTGAAGTTGTCAGGAAAACCAAGTAGGTGAGAATACACACAGAAGGCAAAAATCAGGAGACAGAAAATAAGTTAGAGGGGATTCCAGGGTCTAAAATATGACTTAGTAATCCAAAGTGATTACAAATAAAATTGGAAATACACCTTGGTGATTGGTTTATATATTTGTACTCTCATGTTTGAAAATATTTCACCTCTTTTAGTCATGGTCACTTGTTCACTTCCATTCAATATTTTTTGTCTGCTGGGGCTACTATAAATACATTGTGTTTCCTACCTATTCTAAAAAATTCAAGATGTCATATAGATTAAAACACAAATAAGTTATGACATTTAAGGATAAACCAGAAAAGAACCCAATTGGAGAAAGAAAATAGAAGTTTTCATATAATCCTCTATAATTTATTCAGTCTAGTCAATATAATTTTTTGGCAAATAAGCTGCAAAGGAAAGTTGTTTTCTGGAAGATTTTAAGTCAGTTAATTCACAGCTGGAAAAGTTCTATGCAATACCCAAGGAAGGGAAAAAAAGAGACAATGGGCAGTAGAAAGTAAGGGAGCTGGACAGCACAGACGAGTGAGATATAGCAGCTAGTTCAGGCTCCCCTCCCCTGACTCAACCAAGGAGATCATTTCACTAAAGCCTTCAGAGGGGTTCTGTTTCCAGCTATCAATTAGAGGATCTGAAAATATAACCCCAAGGAGGATTTTAGCTGACAAACCTATGTTATTCATCATTTATTCATTCAACAAACATTTACTAAATAAGATTGCTACTTCTACCAAAAATGAGTTGGGGCTGAAGATTCTCTAAAATGATAAAGATGAATACATGGAAGATGAGGTACTATCAGATTCTGTCCAAAGATTTACTTCTGCCATAATGTCAATAGGCTACTTGCATACAGCTTTCTCTGACAGTATGACATAAGTGCTTAGAAACTGTCCAGAGATAGCTACCTTCATTGCTTAGGTAGAGGCATATATATATATATAGTTCTACTCTAAGTGTTTAATATAAACCAAATTTAACTTGAGTTAGGAGTTAACGGGTCATATAGTCAAGATCATAAAGCTTTATGCCCATTTTTTCAGTGTTTTAGTACAAGCCGCCATTTTAATAGTGTTGATTATAACTAATAAAGTAAAAGAAAGGCTTAAATAGTAATACTTATTTTACCAAAGCAAGAGGAAGGTTCTAGAAAGACACAAAAATTTTAGTTAATTGATACACAAAATTCTAATTTGTTTTGAACAAAAATTTCTTAGGTAGTTTTAATTTTTTCTTAGTACTTGCCCAGTATAGCTAATTATAATGTGCTAAACAATTCTTTGAAGTTGTGGTTTTATAGTCCAGCATGCATAAGTCACTCTATAATTAAAAAGGGGAAAAAAAGCCAGTTTCTGTGTAAAGAAAATAATAAGAAAAATAAACTTTGGATATAAGTATTAATGAAAGTTATAAATATCCAAATAAAAGAATACAGCAAATCAATTCTAAATAAACTTAAAATTTTCTTCATAGATTGAAATTTATCAACCAAATATGGTCTTTTGTTTTTGACCTACACAGTGAAGATTCGAATTTTTCCTCCTTTTTAGTAAAATATTGAGAATATCTCAATCTTATAAAATAATTTTTATATGTCACAGGCTTAATTCATGGACTTACTCTAAGAAGGCACCATGCTTGAGGAACAGACTGTGCAAGACGCTTACAACCAAGTAGAGGGGATTGAAAAAACCGTATATAAA